GAGAGCTATGGAGCAGATCATCCCGAGGCAGGTCCCACCTCACCAGCCTCATCTCTCCTACGACCGGGCGACCCACCGGGTGGAGGAGGGCAAGGCCGTGGACATGGTCTACCTAGAGTTGAGCAAGGCCTTCGACACAGCCTCCCCTGCCTCCCCTGGGGAAGGTGGCACCCACGGCTCTCCCAGAGGTGTTTTAACATGGTGACAAACTGCTGGGTGGCCGGGCGCAGGGAGCGGTGGGGAACGGAGCTCATCCCACCGGTGACCGCTCACGAGTCGTGTTCCCCAGGGCCCGTCCCCACCATCTCATGGTGATGATCTCATTGATGATCTCATCGTACTGATGGTCTGGGTGAGGGGATTGAGGGCACCCTCAGGAGGTGACACCGCGCTGGGAGGAGGAGCTGATCCACATGAGGGCAGGGAAGCCCCACGGAGGGATCCGGACACGCGGGATCGCTGCACTGAGGGCAACTCTGGGAGGCTCAACAGGACCAAGGGCCGGGTCCTGCACCTGGGTCACAGCAGACAGGAGGGTTTAACGGGTTTGGTGCTGAAGGGTTTGCAGTTGGACTCACTGATCTTTAAGGCCTTTTCCAAACATAATGATGTTATGAATGTGGTAACTTTGAAGGAGGAGAGAGTGGCCAGTGTTCTCAAATATCAGCAGATATTCCTTAAAATGTAACCGTTTTGTCCTCAAAACAATCTCATACAAGAGCAGAAAAAAAAAGGGGGGGAGGAGACCCTCAAATAAGCCCTATCTATAAATGCACTTTTAGCCTCCGTTTGGCACTTCCAAAGGTACCTGCCTTCCATCTCCTTGTCTGCCCAGAAGGGCCTTTAGAAGCTTTGGGGAGCTGCTTCTTCCCTTCAACAAACATCCACAACGCAGAGGTGGCACCGATTCCAGGAGAACGTGGATCATGATGCAGGGAGATGGCTTCATCAAAACCACAGCAAGGTTTGGTTTTCCTCTGTGACAGCAGTGAAACTCTGAATCTTTCACAAGAATGCCTGCTTTGGCAGCTTCCTCTCATTCCAGGAGCACCAAGGATCCTCTAATGGACATCTTAGTACTTTGGATACGGTCACCTCCGCTATGGAACCAAGTCATACCAAAACTTTGGTGTCTGCCCCGTTTTGCATGCCCTAGCACCTTGTAAAAGAATGCTAGAATAGATGCAGGTATAAAACAAATAGAGATGCCATTTAAAATCCTTAGAAAGGTAAATTGATGCTTCTAACTGAATGCAGGATGTGACCAGGAGAACATCTGCTACAGCAACATGCACAGAACCACCCAGGCCCTGCGCTGCCTGCTAGGATGCAGCTTTACAGATTCCATGGGCTACAAATGAACGGACTCACTCCTTAGGGAGTCATTAAGGAAAGCCACAGTGGGCAAGGATGAGATGGGGCAAATCCTCACACTGCTCAGGGTCCACGCCTCAGCATGGAGCAACAGGAGCTGCCCATGCCCCAGGACCACTCACCACAGCAGCTCCTGGTGTGACAGGTCCTGCACTCCCAGCCAAAGCCCTCAGCTTGCTGCTCAAACTGCTCCAGGCACCATTTACTGCAGCAAGTCCCCAGCCCGGGCCAACGCGGTGCCCGTCGGGTAACAACATCTGAAAGATGGAGTCAAAATCGTCATCGCTATCAAATGGAGAAATATAAAGAGGATGGTTCTCCGAAAAGTGAGCTTGATTCCAAGATGGTTCCTCAGAGAGGCGAGCACCATCAACACCTGAGACATGTAGAGACTGTTGCTGCTTACAGAGGAATGAGGAAATATGGAGCACTAGGAACAGCAGAGCGAGGAGGAAGCACCTCTGGTGCTACTGCTGAGGGACAGGTACAGGTTAGCTCCTGCACAAGAGAAGTGCTGCTCTGGTGGCAGCGGGCTACATGCAACAACAAAAATTATTCTGTGGTGTCTTCTTCACAGAACATTGAATATTAGAACAGTTTGCTCAGAGTCTCCATCCTTAGAGACATTCCAAACCCATTATGCACATGGTTCTGGGCAACCTGCTCAAGCTGACCCTGGCTCAGCAAGGTGGCTGGACCAGGTCCTCAGATGTTCCTTCCAACCCAAACTGTTCTGCAATACAGAACAGTTTCCACCGATGACAGAAACAGCAGCAGCCCCTCTGGGGACACCCTGGGTCAAGAAGCCTCTGCTTCCCACAGTCTGGTATGTGAGGAACAGCAGAACCCCCAGGGGCTGTGTCCCCTACAAACCTGGGCTTCACGAGCTCCATTCCATAGGGTAATTCAGGCTGGAAGGGACCACAGGAAGCCTCTTGTCCAAACCCTACTCAAAGCAGGGTCGGCTCTGAGGTCAAACCAGGCTGTTCGAGGTTCTTCCATCCCTTGAAAAGCTCCAGGGATGGAAATGGCACAAGCCACTCTATTAACCGACAGTCCTCATGGGGGAAATTTCTCCTAACACCCAGCTGGCATAAATCGAAGTGAGAAGTTACTGTTTCTCATCTTCCTGCCACACACACTGTAAACAGCCTGGTTCTGTCTTCCCCACAACCTTTATAGGTACACTTAGAAGCATCAGTGTGCCCGGTCTCATGGGGATCCACACTGCAGCAAAATGCCTCAACAGACAAGGTCTGGTCAGACCTAACACTGCTCCTACACTCCCTGCCCTGCTTATCTTCAGCATCTGCAGGCATGAGACAAGATCTGAGAACTACTCATTCCTCAGGGAAGTGAGAACAGCCTCCCGCGCTGCGACCGTGCCGTATGTGCTACCATCCACGGCCTGGGCAGGAAGGTGCTTCCCCTGGGAGCTGCTCCTTGTGGCTGGAGCGTCCCCACAGCTCAGCAGGGCCGACTACTTGACATCCCCTCTCATTTAACACCCTTGTTCACCAGCAGGAGCCTCCTAGCTGATCATCACCTGCAGGATGGGGCCTGAACTGCCCTCAGGTACAAGGTGAGCACTGGTCCTCAGCTGTGGAGATCCTCTCCCTCAGCCTTCAGCCACAAGCAGCCTTGGTGCTTTTAATGAAGGACGACATTCATTGGCTTCTAGCCACCTCCTCCTCCTCCTCCTGTCAATCCATCTTCTACCATTTCAGATTCGGAGTAGATCTATATACAATGAGCTGGTTCATTATATTTTAAAGTGGCTCTAATTAAGGGTTCTGATGACTTGGTGATACCCACAGTGTCTAATGACTTTGTTTCATGACAGGTAAAGGAGGCACTATGGGTGCTCCTTGGAGGATACAAACCCAGGAACATAGACCATACACCCCAAGGAAGCCAAATCAGGTGTGCCTTTCCAGACTGGGGACATTCTGCTGAAACAAGCAGCTATGGGAACAGTTTTGTGAAGCAGATCCCATGTGGGAGCACACTGATGACCCTGGCTGCACCTGCACAAACTTTGCCCCCAGTAATCTTAAGGAACATAAAATCTAGGCTGCACATTTCAGCTCTGAAAGACAGACTGAAACAATGCTGTACTTGCTGTTATCAGTAGAGAGCCTTCTCTCTAAGGGCCACGTGCCACCCTTGAAAAGTTACACTGGAGACATTATGAGAACACACAGAGGCAGCAGCACACGAGTGCCCGTCCTACGTGATGGCTCACGAAGCTTCCCTGACCCAGCAGCTTCTCGGCCGCTAACGTGACAGCCAGGATCCAGCTGTGGCCTCCACACACCATCTCACAGCTGGCTCTGCCACATCCAGCTGTGCCAACACAAGGGGACGTGGTGGATGAGGAAAGGAGTGAATCACACACTCCTCTCTCCTCTAAACTTGACATTACAAGAAGCAGCTGAGAAACGTCAAGAGAAGTTGGGGAGAGAGGCAGAGAGTTATTTGTTTGCTTGCTCTTAGGTAGTTGCCCTTCAGTTGTTGGTGTGACTGCCCGTCCTACGTGACGGCTCACGAAGCTTCCCTGACCCAGCAGCTTCTCGGCCGCTAACGTGACAGCCAGGATCCAGCTGTGGCCTCCACACACCATCTCACAGCTGGCTCTGCCACATCCAGCTGTGCCAACACAAGGGGATGTGGTAGATGAGGAAAGGAGCAGTGAATCACACACTCATCTCTCCTCTAAACTTGTCATTACAAGAAGCAGCTGAGAAACGCCAAGAGAAGTTGGGGAGAGGGGCAGAGTTATTTGTTTGCTTGCTCTTAGGTAGTTGCCCTTCAGTTGTTGGTGTGACTGTCTTTGAAAGTCTTACTCAAATTCCAGTGAATAATAAAAAAAATACTAAACACACACACTAACAGCAAAAATAAAACACCCACTAATAAAAAAAAAATATGCCCATCTTCTATCAGCTACGAGATCAGATCAGCAGTTTAAAGTGAAGGAACCAGGGTTCATTCTCTGGCTTATGGAGCTCCTATATGTCCTACAGGAAACTACTGAGCTTTTAAAAATGTGACCAGTGACATTTTATTCAAAACCAAACCAAACCAAACCAAACAAACAAACAAAAAAAAACACTTTTTTTTGTTAAATAGGGGAAAAATAACTTTCTTGGACAGCAACAATGGGAGGCCTTGAGAGAGCTGAAACTCAAGTGAAAGGGAAAAAAAGAAAAGACTGGAAATGTCTGGGTCTCCCACCTTGAATTTCAGGCAAGTGTTACTAAACATCCTAAGGAGAGGTGGTGCTGTACACACTTCATGGGCATGCCCTGTTACTGTAATCAATGCAGAAGCCCAGCATCAAAAACAAGACACCACTGCCACACCACAGTGTTCAGAAATTTCCCTTCCGTTGCTCCCTGCTCCTGCGTTCTGCTGCAGTCAGGATCCTGGGTTAGGTGGCTCTTTGGTCTGAGTCAGTAGGGCAGCTTTTTGTTTTAACGAGGGATAAGTCTGGTCCCTTCTATACTTTTAATCTATGAAGTATTTTCTGAAGCTTGGTGGAGAGACCATAAGGAAGGATGCTGGGCAATATTTTCACGAGCACCTGGGGGCAATGCACACTTAGAGCATGTTAATCAACCCACCTTGTCAACCAGACACCTTCTGGGGCCAGTACAACTATGTGAATTGCTGTCTGAGTGTGTACTCACTTGCTCCACATGAGGCTTCTTGGCAAAGGAGATCCTGGCTATGGAGTGAGAAGCTATAGACAACTCCTGTCCATTCACCTCCCCTTCTTCCACCTCCACAAGACCTAATAAGAAGCAAGATCATAAGCATTAGGCTACCAAGGTTAACTCACAGTGTCACAAGTATCAAGCTATGTAATCCTAGTGTAAGCTATAAAGATAGCTGACCACCACTCTCCTTGAAAAACAGTTTTATTTGACCTACTATAAAACAACTGTAAATCCAGCTTCAGAAAAGTAATGCTTTCTGGAAAAATCATGCTAGACAGACTTACTCATACAGAGTGGGATAATTACCACAGTTAAATTGGCAGTGTTCCCTTCAGCATCTACTCTGTAGCCTTAGATACCAATTTGTTTAGCATCAGCTGGGGTTCAAAATTCTTTTGCTTCTGATAATGCAATTCCCTCTTACTCAGTCCCTGTGAGCTGTATAACAAATACATCCAGACAGTGGGAGATTCTCCTAGTTCAGCAGCCACGAAGGATCACCACACTCTTTGTCCATGGCAAGGCATGAGGGAGGCCACCCCTCGCAGTGCTGCTTTGGGCAGTGCCACAGTGTGGGCTGAGCAGGGGACTGTACCATGCTGAACACTACGGGATGGAGAGGCTGCCAAGAAGATCTAATGCCACCACTGTGACACCCTGTGAGGGCCACAATCTCTACGCTGAACCACTGAATCAAATAAAATTATGATGTTAAAGCTCATTGCAAGTGGGAAGTTAAATCTGACCATGCTTAGAAGGACCTGAAAGTGGGCCAAACATGAGAATAGCAATAGAAGAAGACATGACAGATGAGCTCACGAACCAACATATTTACCTCTCTACTTCTACCACAGGGTCTATCGTGGTCAATTCATGGGAACAGGCCATCCTATCTGTGCTTGTTCCTCTCCCCAAAAGCCTAGGGTACCATGAAGGCAATGAGAACATCACCGACCCCTTTCCATCTGCCACCATCAGGACTCCTGCCTCAAACTGCAATTCTTGTTGCAAATTGTGGCTTTTCTGGTTTACAAAGTTAAATCTGCAATACCAATGTAACATTTTAGAAGAGAATACCCTCCCCACACACAGATCTCCCAAGACTGCAGCGTAAGCTTTACTGTGATGTTTTGGTCCTTTCGTGTCACAGAAAGCTAGCAGGTCAAATCCCCTGGGCAAAGGCCTGTAATCAGCCTTGGAACCCAGCACTCCTGACATGACCTCATTAATACCAAGATGGGGAGGCTGTTCCTTGATGCTGAACCCACAATTAAGATAAATGGAATGAAACTCTTAGTGAAGTCCGGTAATTTTCTGGAAGTTCATGAAACGACACAGCAGGATAAGGACCTCTGCCTTTTCCCAGAGATCCCAAGCTTAGGCTGTGAGGATCTGTAGGATATTGGGTTACTACCTGTGTTCTGGGCACTGATGAAGGCCACCTTATTAGTGTCAGGTTTGAGGCGGATGAATCCACATTCCCGGTGCATTGGCTTCCTGGTGTCTGGATGGAAGGCATTGAACCTGAGGAGAAGTCACGACACGAGAACTGCTGTAGGGGTTCACTGAAAACAAGTGTCCAGCCTGCTTTCACCTCAGAGAACATGCTGGCTTACTCAACCACACCATCACCCCCAGTTCCTAAATGAAGAGTGAGAGACTGAGCAGACTGCAAGGCTGGAAGACGTAAACACGCAAGAGAGCAGCTCCCTTACACACACAACTAGTTTTTATAGCTGGAATTAGTTATTTAAGAGCTGGCTTGAGGTTTTCTACAGCTCCTTAGTCTTTCTAACAGTTATATGGGAAATTACCCTTGGCAGTTTGACCTTCCCCCAGTGCTTCAGGCATGCTCTGGGCAAAATACACCCTTCCTCGAGGAAATATCTGGCATTACGGTATCATCTTTATTCACTTTCTAAACCTGGCAGCTTGCTTTCCTGGATATAGCTTCCTGCAGGCAGTAACAGAGCAGACTTATATCTGTCCCCTTATGAAAGAAAAGAATCCATCTCCTATGCTTACTTATTCTTTGCCAGGCCTAACTCTACACAAGTGTCTGCAATCAAGCAATGTCTTAGATACACTACTGGCAGGTCAAATACCCATATACTTTAGCAGATTATTCTATTGGCAATTTATTTATTCTAAAATAATCCCTCTTTTCATACTACTTTTCACGAAATTGCCCACTCCACATCCTTTGGCAAGAAAGGAGACAGTCAACCTCAGTGCTGCTGCTAATTCCATACGTGGGAGTTCCTAATGCAACAGCAGTTCCTACATGCTGTTGTCCCCCTCTACAATCATGCATCCCTGTGTAATCCTCAAAATTGGCAGGCCACGAGAAGACTACCTGGTGCAGTAAGGTCACAGCCCTGATCCTGGACACTTTTGCATCTGCAGCAAAGCTGTGAACTCATTTTTGGAAAGCTCAAGCATGTGGAAGTGCACTGCCACCAACTGCAGGTGCACAGCCCAGGACACAAAACAGAAACCCAGGCCACAAGGACAGATCTCATTGCATCTTCACACCTGGTAGAGGAAAACTGGTGTACTTTGCAATTTGAAGTGCAAAAAGCAGCCAGTCTCTCTGGATCCATACCTACTGCAGGCCAAAGGCTGCTGCCAGCACTGGCAAGGCCCTAGACTTACGAGAAGTTCAGCATGGGCTGCCCCACGTGGGAGATGTGCACTTCTTCCAGGTACTGAAAGGGCTTCATGGTGGGGAAGGTGCCATCTCCGGGGGGATCCGAGAGCCAGGTGCCCAGCATCCAGGAGAGGGGCTCCATCACAGGGTTCAGCTGCGGCGTCTCTGTGGAGAGAAAGGGAAGGATGAGGAAACACACGGACCTGCTCTCCCCAGCGCGCTGCGAGCTGCTCTCACGTGGGTGCAGAAAGAGTAGGGAGCACCTCGGGATTGCTCCGGAGCATCAGCAATGGTTTTACCCAGAGCAGTCTCGTACATGAGGTCAAACAAGCAGGCAGGGAAAGCAGATACTTCCTCAAACTTGCTCGTGGTCTCACTAACACCAACACGGGGAACTCTTACCTTTCGCTCCTATCTGGAGTGCCAGTTTGGAGGGGTATCTGCCTCCCACGCACATGCAAGGCAAGAGAGAAAAGCTGAGCACCAGCTGATAGCTAAACCTCCAATGTTGTGGTCCAGGATTGCTCCAACATGGAGCAGGCACCGTTTCTGGTTGTTTTGGAGGCCAAGGGAATGAGTCCTCACCTCATTCTCAAAAGAAAAGCATATTGTGCATATATATGTGTGCACATTCATATTCAGCATGAATGTAATGTTTTTAGTAAGTTATGCTATGCAGATGACTACAACTTAAAGGATGTCTTCCCCTCTATAACGTGAAAAGACTTGCGTGTTTTTCCTCACCTAACAATACAGAATCATGGAATCATTACGGTTGGAAAAGACCTTTGAGATCATTGAGTACAACCATAAGCCCCTCAACACCTCCCTGCCTGCTAAACCATGTCCCCGTGTTCCTCACCCACGCGTTTCTTGAACACTGCGAGGGACGGTGGCTCCACCACTTCCCTGGGCAGCCTGTTCCAATGCTTGACTGCTCTTTCCATGTAGAAGTTCTTCCTAATGCCTGGCCTGAACCTCCCCTGGTGCAACTGGAGGCCGTTTCCTCTTGTTCTACCCGTAGTTATTCTGGAGAAGAGATCAACCCCCGCCTCACTACAGCCTCCTTTCAGGTGGTTGTAGAGAGTGATAAGGTCTCCCCTGAGCCACCTCTTCTCCAGACTAAATAATCCCAGCTCCTTCAGCCACTCCTTATAATGTCTGTGTCCCAGCCCCTTCACCAGCTTTGTTGCCCTTCATTGGACACCCTTCAGCACCTCAATGTCCTTCTTGTAGCGAGGGACCGAAAACTGAACACAGTATTCCAGCAGCCCCAACACTCACACTGCTTGCGGCCGGGCGCCAGGGGGTTTTTCTCCATCCACCAGCACTCTGGGCACGGCCATCCAGCTGGTTCTTCACCCATGGAAGAAGATGCCTGTCTAGATATCACCTAGTAAAAGAATAAGCTACCTGTCCGACTGGTCCAGGCATGGACACAGCTGGGTGGAAAAATCAGGACCCGAAATGGTGATGCAGTGAGTAAGAATTTGCTTCATCAGTCTGAGATCCGGCCTGCGCAATCCCAAATCTTGGGCTGAAAAGACTGAGCAAGGAAGGCAAATAGGGAGCCCATATTTGGGATAACGGAGTAGGGAAGCCCCAGCAAAGGAGAATTCCCATTTCTGTTGTACACTGTCACAACACAAAGCAAGTTTAAGTCCAAAATTCTGCCCACATGTCAGAGAAATGCTGCTAATAACCCTTCATTAGCCTGAAGTTTTCTGCAAGGGAAGCGACAAGGGAAAAGTGTGAAAGCTCACAGCAAAACTGGCAGAAAACTTCCAGCACCAGAGCAACCCTCGTCAAGAAACACCCTTCCCATCCTGCGTTTCCTTCCATTTTCCCCAGAGTTAAGGGAGGCTCTCACAATGTGCTCAACAAGACCCTGTGTTTCACCGTTGCCTCCCTCCCAGCCGCGTCGCGGGCAACGTGGACAGCAGCCCGTTACCTCCCGGGGCTGCAGGGACCTTCCTGCACGGATCACAACATCCGAATCCAGGGATTGCTGCGAGAAACCCCGTTCTCTGCAGGCCACAGAGCCTCCCGAGGCAGGGAACCAGCCTGTGGAAAAGCTCATGGAAGCTGCAGCACGGGCTGCTGCCCTCTCCTGGCTGGCCTGGCTCCTTTCCCCTTCAAAAGACGATGGCAAACTCGATTTTGTTTTGCTTGCCAATTTGGAGGCGTTTCAGGAAGCGTCAAAACAGGCAAGAGAAACGTCAGTGACCAGTGGATAGCTAAGGCTTGGTTTGGGTTGTCCCTTGGAAGGGCCGTGGGCTGCAGAGCACTTCTTAAGTCACGCTGGCTCAGGGGTGCTTGAGAAGGCAAAAAAATAAGAACCAAATCCAGCAATTTGCAGAGCAAGAGAACCTGCCTGCCCTTCTGATGTCTGGAGCTTCACACCGACACGGAGTCCCGCAGCGTTGCTGCTCCTGCACCCAAAGCCACACAGTGTCCCTGCTGCCTAACGAAACACAACCACCCAGCCCCTCTGCCCTCACAGGTGCCGAAGCGCCACAGCTGCCCTCTTTGCTTCAGGAAAGCAGGGGCTGAACACGCTCCTGGCAAGGTGCACAGGCCATCCACTGCCACCCCAGCAGCAGGGCCCAGCCACGTACCTGCTGCCATGCACAGAAACTCCTTTTGCTTCCACGTGAAACAAAAGTAAAAAAGGGAGAAAAGAGACCCCATACTGTGCCAGGAACAGGAAGCAAACACGCAGGGAGCTGCAGTGCTGCCTCTGCATTCTCGCTGTTCACGAAGCGCCTTCCCAACACACAGGGTCTGCAGTCAGCGGCCAGGCATTTCCCTTCTCAGGGGGGTCCCGATAACCAGCACGCCCCTGGGAAGGACAAACTGCCTTGTCCTGGGTGCTCCTGCCACGTTTAAAGCACAGGAGGTGGCCACTGCCCTTCTGCAGTAACGTCACCTTTTCCACTCTGCCAGGGCTCTCCCACTTCCAACACGTTCCCGTATTAATGTAACCACGAGCTGGGACATTCTGCATCTTTGTTTCTATCTATCTTCTGTGGGAAAATGTATCTGCAAACACTTCCAGAGCTCTCCTGCAATACAAAACATGGGAAGAAAAGAGCAAAAAAACCAAAAGTTTTCAAAATCCTGCACTACTATGGAAAAGCAAAGCGTCCCAAGGCAACTTTACCTCAATATCTCGTTTGCAAACTATCGTGTTCGGGGTTTTTCCTTTGCTACAGGTGACTTTCTGCTCGCTGCAGAGTTGGACGTGGCAGGGGCTGCCCCCAGCAGAGGCTGGCGGGATCCGCGGGCTGTCGATCCAACGAGGGCTCCCAGTGCCCGTGTCCAGGCAGGGACCGCGGCAAATCCCACCCGGGAAACCCTCCCGCGCTGCATCCGCGCAAAGCGGCTCCGCTCCGCGCGTCCCGCCACCCAACCAAGGCCCCTCTCCATCCCGACGGGAACCGCGAGCCCGGATCGCCGCAGAGGCACCGGGACCCTGACCCTGCAAAAACCCCACGTTCCACAACCCTTACAGCTACCAAACTCTGCCCTCGCTCAGCTGCAGGAGCATTAAACACAACCAGACTTCTGCAAGATGTTGCACGACTAGCAAAAAACAAACCTAAAAAGGAAATATTTTCCACAGATCCTTAGCAAAACCCTAACAACTTTCCAAACAAACCCACGTTAAAAACACCACTGCCTTTAAGATGACCTTCAAGAAAACAAACATGGAGATTGGAAAAGGCTCCCAATAGGTGCAAGCTACCACATTTTAAGAGCTTTACCTCTCTAAAACACATATAAATGCACATATTTGTATCGCATGGACTCGTACCTGTGTTGGCTGCACTGCTGGCCATAGTTTGCAGTTATTTTAGCTCGGTCCAGCTCCCTAAGCAGCTTTGCTGCCAGAAAGTGTTTTTCACTGCCTGCGAAGGGCCATTAAGGAAGTGATCTCAGGATCGGGCAGGAAAGTTATCCAAATGCCTGCTGGGAGTTGTAGTTTTAAAAGAAATAACTAAAAATCCAGTGTGTGACAGCAATTCTGGAAAAAAGGCAGCATTTCTCCTCAGCTGCAGCACGGGGGGAACGGGACCCCAGCAGAACCAGACGTCGTTCCTGCCTCGGTATCCTGGTCTTGGGAGGACCCATTTCTCCTTGTCCTGCCTCGTACGTCAAGCCCAACCACAGTGTTTCTCCACCTTTGATCTGCGGACATCAAAGGTGGCCCCTGAAAGGAGCAGGGATGGTTTCCCAGGCAAGCAGGAGTTGGGCACAGGAGGAGCCACAGTGGAAGCAGCACGGGAAACATCCCGGGGATCTTCCCAACACCCTGATCTCCTCCAGAAACGCCGTATCACTGCCTAAAAGACTTTTATCCGTGCGAATTTTCCCAGGACAACAAGTCATAACCGCGGAAATGATGGATTTCTACATGTCTGTCTCCAGTTTTGCTGACAGAAGACAGCAGAAGCAAAATGTTGATAAAAATTAATTGATTTTTGACCTTAGAAAAAAGTGTAATTCTTATGTTCTCACAGATCATACTGTTACAATTCTTATGCTCTCATACATGTAGGTATAAGAACATGCACCTCCTAAGGGAGGGAAAAGACCCCATGATGTCTACTCGAATAAAGAAAAATATCCTTCAGCACACTCTTTTTCTGGCCAGTATTTCCCTGTAGGTATTCCCACAAAGCTACACACACACATTATATTATATAAAACAATTTTAGGTCACCATAATTAGCATATATACCTATGCTAATTATATATGTGTGTGTTAGCATATTATATGTGTGCATATATATTAGCATGTTAGCATATATATACATATGCATATGTACACATACACACAAATATATGTAGGCAAAGTATGGCAACCTAAAATTGTTGTTAGGGATTTCCTTGGCACCAAAACAGTATGAAAATGCAGACCAGGAGGTAGATGTAAAAAGACTATGCCAGTTCCACACAGAACTGACATACATAAGTAAAGCCAAATCTTTTCCCTTCTCCCCAAACCAAACTGCACGTTTTCTGTGCCTTCCTGAAAGACATGGGAACATTAAAACCCATGGAAAAAACATTGCAGGGGGGGGAATCAAGCTGAAAGAACATCAAGTCCATTTTGAATCCGACTGAGCTCTTCCCCAGGATGAAATTCCGTGCCTGGAGTCACTGCGTAAGTTTTATTACTTGTGAGCCAGGTACAATCAATGACTCCTTGAAAGAGGAAGGGCTAAGGCCCTGTTCAACTTTGTCATAATAACAATTTCTATGCTATCTTAACCCTCTGCTTTAGAGGATCTCTGCTCTTTCCCCACCAAGGGAGAAGCCATGGCCCATCTCTTCCCCCTTTCTTACTCATTTCCTGACTTCTTCCACCTTTCTGGGAAGGAAACGATCAAACCGCATGGAACTATTTCAAACAGGAAAAATATCCTCAACAGGTACGACACGCCTGTGGTATTTTACTCCTACTACACC